GTATAAAAATTACCTCTGTAAACAAAGCGAAAAAGATGGGAGCAGCAGGTGGTGTGGTGGTTAAGGTGCTGGACACTCCCATATGACTGACCACAGTTTGAGTCCTGGACCTGGTGGCTTGCCTTCTCTCTCTCTTTCTCTGGTCAAATTAAAATAAATGAATCAATAAATCAAATTAAGTAAATAATTCTATTAAATAAAAAAGAGGAAAGAGTTTGGAGAGGGGCCAGGCTGACTGGGAGGGCAGAGCAGCTGAAATCCAAGATGGGCAGCCAGGGTTGGGGTAGGGGAGTGGGGCTCCCACCCGCCACCTGGTTGATGGTGGGACAGCAGGTTGCCCCCCACAGGTGTGAGAACAGGGGCGTGAGGACCTCGGAGTTTCTGAGACTGCAGTGGTCCTGGGAGGGTCTATCTGGGTGTTGGAGTGGAGCCCGAGGAGGGTGCTGGCCCAGCCCAGGGTGGGCCAGGGCTGCAGGACGCCCCCACTCCTACCTGGCATGTGACTGTCCCCTCAGGGTGTTGTTACCGCTGTCACAGCAAGTGCCTGAACCTGGTCTCCAAGCCCTGCGTGAGCTCTAAGGTCAGCCACCAGGCGGAGTACGAGCTGAGCATCTGCCCTGAGACCGGGCTGGACAGCCAGGACTACCGCTGTGCCGAGTGCCGGGCGCCCATCTCCCTGCGTGAGTGCTGGTGCGGTGAGAACAGAGCGAGGCGTTTGGGCGGGCGAGCAGGGCCAAGGTGCAGCGGGAAGCTGCATAAGGTCAGCACCCCCGAGTGCGGTTCATGGGTCGGGGCAGGGTGGATCCTGCAAGCTGTGCTCAGGAAGGTGGCAGGAGGAGCTGTTGCTGCCAGACTAAAGTCCCAACTGTTTGTACCTGGGGGGCCTGGAGGGCTGAGAGCTGATGCACTCACCTAACGCCCACACACACCCACACGGACAGACGGGGTGGGCTGGCCCGGGGGCGTGTTCCTGGAGGCTCGATGATTTAGCCTGTGGAGGCCCTTTGCGGCCCTGTGGGGGGCCATTGTCCCATTTCACTGAGGAAACTAGGTAATGCTTGGGGCCAGCCGTTGGTGTAATGGCTATGTCTCTGGACTCCTACGTCGTCGCCCTTGGCTTAAACTCACAGCGGGCATATCTGCATGTGTGCCCAAGATCCTGAGAGGAGAATGGAGGGGAAAGGATTGCGGGGTGGCCATCCTTGGGGGGTGATTTCTTGCTTTCTGTCTCTTTCTGGCGAGTGCACGCACCCTATAGCAAAAGATAAATAAATTAATAAAAAGAAAAGGAAAGGAAAGACTAAAAAAACTAGGCAAGGCTGGAAGTGGGGTTGGAGATGAAAACCCTGGTCCGGCTGGTGCGCTCCCAGGGGCCAGTGGGCCGGGGAGGCGGACCCTGCGCGGCCTTGACGCTGCTCCGCTCCAGGGGGCGTGCCTAGCGAGGCCCGGCAGTGCGACTACACGGGGCGGTACTACTGCGGCCTCTGCCACTGGGACGACATGGCCGTCATCCCCGCGCGCGTCGTGCACAACTGGGACTTCGAGCCCCGCAAGGTAGGGCGGGTGTGAGGGGGTGTGTGCGGCGTGTCCCAGGTGGATGGTTGCCAGGCGGGGGGCTGGGCGTAGGTACAGTGGGGGGTGCACTCCAAATTTCAGTGGGGAGCATGGAACCTGGGTACAGAGGGAAAGCTGCCCCAGGTACTGGGGGGCCACCCAGGTACAGTGGGAGGGCACGCCCAGGTACAGTGGGGGGCATGCCCAGGTACAGTGGGGGGCGCCCAGGTACAGTGGGGGTGTGCCC